GTCTTCTTCCCCATATTAATTGCATTGTAAAACATCACACATCAACAGTACATCTGAGGGTGGCAGTGTGTGTGTGTGTCAGGGTCTTTTTTACTCCCCCGTTCCCCGTTGGCCATCTAGGGATGGGGTCCTGGGGGGGGGCTGACCGTCTGGTGGGGCCTGGGCTGTGGGCGGACATGGGGCTTGGAGGGGCTCCGGAGGCGGGGCTGGCGCTCTGGCTTCTCTGGGGCTGTTCGGGCTCCTGGAGTCTGGCTCCTGGTTGCTGTGGTTGGCCCGCTGGCTGGGGTGGCTGCCTGAGTCTGAGGGGTGGTCGGTTGGGGGTGAGCACCTGGCCGTTGGTAGGGTGTGGGAGTGGTCCGGGGCTTTGCTGGGGTGGGGGGCTGGTCGGTCGGACTGGTGCGGCCCGGGCTGGGACTTGACTGTCTGCTCTTCTCCACCCCAGATTGAAGGGGTCTACCTCCTGGGTTCAGGTGTGAGCTGCCCTCTGCAGGGGGTGGGTGCATATCCTGGGCCTGGGGGGTATAATGTATGTATGGGGAGTGTGAGTGGATTGTGGCGTCCATCTTGTGGGTCTTTGAATGAGTGGGTGAGAGGATGAGGGTGGGACTATGTGATTGTGTTTGTGTATGCTTGTATTTTTGTCAGGCTGGGACTTGGGTGGCCCCTTCTTAGGGACCATTTGAGGGCCCACCACTCTCCTGCCGTGCTGTCCTCTGGTGGGGTGTGCCTTTGCCCGCCGGCACACTGGTGGCTCTCATTGTCCGGGGCTGGGTGCTTGGGCTTGTGCCAGCTCGGCTCAGTGGCTGCCCGGTGGGGCTTGGGTTCCTCTGGCCCTGTCGGGCCTTGACCTGGGGTGCGCCCTGTGCGCCCTGGGGGCCCGGGCCTCTGTGTCCATGCCTGGACCTACTGTGGCGCGGTGAGTACCGGCGGGGCCTGTGAATTTGTCGCTGCTGGCCCCAGGGGTTTACTGTGTGTGGTCGCTGGTGGGGCTCTTCCGGTTCTCTCCTGTGGTCCTCTTTAGGGGGTAGGTGGGGGTTCCTTCTGGCGTGGGTGTCTCTGGGGCTGCATGCATGGGGTCCCTCTCAGGGTCTTTGGCGCTGGTCTCCCTTATGTCAGCTTCCGGCTTTGTGGGTCGGGTCTGTGGTCCCCCACAGTCACTTTGAAACATTCCATTGGAGAGATCTTGTATATACATGCATGCGCACAACTGCACACAAACAGGTGTTTACATCCTGGGTTTTCTATTTGGGCACTGACTGAATGGTATGTGCATATGTGTATGTATAGATATATGTGTATGTATGTATATATGAAAGTGTTTGGATATGTAGGTATGTGTATGTTTCTGTGTATATGTATAAATTTATATATATGGGTATGGTTTTCAGCAAGGCTATAGTCATTATAATTATATAGATATGCATTTTTGTTGCTGTGGTTTTG